TTTTTTTTTTTTTTTTATTACAATGCGACCCATCATTGAGGCCATCATTACTGTTTTGAATTGTATTGTTTGTTTTTTTTTTGTAAGTTATTTAGTTTCAATTCTTCAATCGTGTAACCATGGACCTTATTAATAGGTCAATGGTGTAACATTCCTAAGTTTATTCAATTTGTTTAAAGAAAGCCGAGAAATTGATTTTAAATAGAGCCATAAATTAAACAGTTTTTACAGTAGCATTTTGCTTGATTTTGTTGTTATGTGGTGCGAATCAAAATTTAAGAATTCGAAGACTATAATTTGTAATCATATTTAATTTAATGGGTACCAAGGATATGGAGTGTCGGCCAGTGAGCCTATTTGGTCTTGCGCAAAAAAAAAACTTAAATTCAGAAACTTCATTTTACATAGTAGGCCCTAATAGGCCTACATTTTAAAGACATAAATTTTTTTACAGTAATGTTTGTTGGTTTTTTTTGTTTTTTTTTTTGGATTTTTTTTTTGCTTTTTTTTTATTTCTTTTTTTGAGAAATTATGCCAACGTACTTAAAAAAATTATTGTAGGCAAACTATTACCAAAAATAATAAATTTTATGTGGGGTTTGATTTAACGCTGTGCTATTAATTGTGTAAGTGGATAACGTTGAATGGGGCATAACCTAAACTTTGGAGATCTTTACATACACTTCATGGGCGGTCCCCCCCCCCCACTTTTTGGCGAAAAATATATAATGTCTGGAGAATTTTGTATGATCGGAAATGCAAAAAAAGAAAGAGGGAAGAAGGAGAAGGATGGGAAAGAGAATGTTTATCCAGTACCCGACCGAGTTACATTTTCTCTCAATTCACATTGGCGGATCTGGGAGGAGGGGATCATGGGTCCTGACCCCTCCCTTGTGCAACAAAAAAAGGGGAAAAAGAAAAGGATTCTAGACCTACCTTTTCAGGACCCGTGAGCTGATTTTTTTTTCCTATTAGAAAATTAGAATTTTGAAGAACATAAAATTCATTAAAACACACTTCAAATGTCGGGAAAGCTCAATTCCCGCCATCTAGGAATTAAAATTTTCCCGGGTGAGAACCCCCGGACCACCCTTTCTTTTTGGGATTTATCGATTCATGGAAAAAAGAATACGCATGCAACTACTCATTTGTTTATGTATGTGTAGCCGCTCTACACACAATACATAAGATGATACCTTAAGATTGAGGTGAGCGGGGTTCGGATAGGCTTGACGAAGGAGGCACTGGACTTGTAATGAATCAAATTAAACAGTGTTTGGCTTTAAGTGAGCATATATTATATCATCAAATCGAAATTATACAAAATAGCAATTAATGCTAAAACACAGTCAGGTTACAAATAATATATAATATAATAAGTACAAGTTAAACTTATATTTTGTTGACAAACATCTTGCTCGATGTATTTGAATCACTCAATAGGGATGCTGTTGATTCGTAGGTCTTAACACTGTTCACGATTACCAAGTCTTCTGATAGATGCGGACTCCAATCCTTTACTCAGTATGACTCTGGGAATCTTCTCTCAACACCTGAATTTGTTGAGCAATGGAGAGTGTTAGACAACTAGGTTTCGACAGGAGAACCTACTGCTCTATTTAGCTTAAGAGTAGATGTTGTCTAATGCTCAGCCTTTTCTTATTTTAACATCTAATCTACGGACTAAACTACCAATATTCTCTATACAGGCCTATTATTCAATGGAACAATTTAATCAATATATGGATCATGGACTGATTATGATAATAGTCAGTGTTTATCATGTAATAGCATTTTAGCTATAAATGCAAATAATAATTTCATTAACAGAATATAAAGTTACTTAAAACACATAATAGGTGAGAGGCAATTTAAGATTAACTTGATAGTTATATTAAATAATCTAAACATTCAGTTGACTTAACTAAACTGGTTAAGCTAAAAAATAATAAAGCTATGCTGGTCTTACCTGAATTTGTTGAGCAATGGAGAGTGTTAGACAACTAGGTTTCGACAGGAGAACCTACTGCTCTCTTTAGCTTAAGAGTAGATGTTGTGAATTTGTTTGTGAAACAATCTACTTTTATCTGATTCGTTCCCCTCCCTAATTATCGACAACATTCCTGAGACCCTTTGTTAGGTCACATTACAGGGTATAATTACCCTTCTAGGAGACAAGTGGCTGACTATTTAGCTAGTAGTTTATACCAATACATAGCCAGTGGTTATCAGGCAAGGTGAATAATCCCATTAATTATTCTTATGGTCAGCAAGCTTCTTTGTCTTGTCTATCTTGGAATTTAGGGAGGTAGGGGAGTTATTTTAAATACTTTCCCTTCTGTACCATTTTTGTACACTGGTTACATATGTATACACACATAAAATAAAAAATGAGAAAAATTTACCTGACCTTTTTAAAGAGTGGAAAACCTTGAATTTTGAAGAACTTTAAAAGTCATTAAAAGACATTTCAGAAGTCAGGTAAGCTCATCTCCCGCCCTCTAGAAATCGAAATTTTTCCGGGGAACCCGGACCCTTTATCTTTGGAGTTGATTAATTGAATTATTTTCAAGGGGTGGGGGAACCTGGAATTTTGAAGAATTTAAAAGTCATTAAAAGACACCTCAGAAGTCGGGGAAAGCTCATTTCCCGCCACCTAGGAATCAAAATTTTCCCGGGGAAGAACCACAGGACCTCCCCACCCCCCACCTTTCTTTTTGGGATTTATCGATTCATGGAAAAACTACGTATGCAACTTACTCAATCTTTTTTTTATGTATGTATACACACATAAGGCCTATTTACTGTAATAACAATGAGAAAAAATTATCTGACCGTTTTCAAGAGTGGAAAACCTTGAATTTTGAAAAATTTAATTACTTTTAAGTTCTTCAAAATTCAAGGTGTTCCCCTCTTGAAAATTATTATAATGAATCAATGAACCCAGGGAAAGGGATGTTCGAGTTCTTCCCGGGAAAATGTTGATTTCTGAATGGTGAACAATGAGATTTCCCGACTTCTGAAGTATTTTTTAATGACTTTAATTTAAAAGACACCTCAGAAGTCGGGAAAGCTCATTTCCCGCCTTCTAGGAATCAAAATTTTCCTGGGGCGGACCCCCGGACCCCCCTTTCTTCTTTGGGATTCATCGATTCATGGAAAATTAGTATGCAACTACTCATTTTTTTTTAAATTGTTATGTATGTATACACACATAAGCCCTATTTACTGTAATAACAATGGGAAAAAATACCAGACCGTTTTCAAGATGGGAAAATCTTGAATTTTGAAGAACATAAAAGTAATTAAAAGACACCTCAGAAGTCGGGAAAGCTCATCTAGAAATCGAAATTTTCCCTGGGGAGGAATGTTGACCCCACCACCTAGATTTGATTCCAGATCTGCATGATTCATATTCCCATTCATCTTATAAACTGTGGCGTAACAGGTGGGGCAGGGGCAGACTGTTCCCCCCCCCCCACTGACGGTTTTTACCGGGCTGACCAAGCCGTCGTACCGGGCTGGGTAAGAAGAGAAAAGAAAGAGGGGAGAGGGAGGGAAAGAGAAAGAAAGGGAAAGAAAGAGAAAGGAAAAAGGAAAAGAGAAGAGAAAAATAAAGACAAGAATAAAAAGGAAGATATAATGATATAGATATCACAATACCCCTGCCTGCAACCCATTCTCCACTTCAAAAAGTGTCCATAGCGCATTTGATCTAAGCCGCCAGGTATTCTCCGCAGTGGCGTAATAACCGGGGGACAAGGGGACAATATCCATCTGTGGAAAGTCTTTCCCCATTGAATGCCCTTTTCACCCTGGAAAGTGCCTGAAAATCTCAAATTTTAAATCGCATATTTTGTTGAGGTAGGCCAATTTACTCTAAAAAGTGCACATTTTAGGGAGTTTTGATCAATTAGAATTTATGTTAGAGCTTGTGCTTGCTCCCCTTTGCCTTCTAAGTTATAACACATAGTCCCAAACTCAAGAAAGAAAATTTAAGATAGATCGTTTTACCTATTAAAGAAAGGCCTCAATGTGTAATGATGTTGAAAGAATATGTTTGTAATAAATAAAGCCATAAGGAAAATGATTATATTCAGTTTAAAAAAACCAATGTGGCCATATATAACATAAGAGCATTTCTTGTGGAGGTAGGCCAATTTCCTCTAAAAATTGCACATTTTAGGGAGTTTTGATCAATTCCGACGAAATTAGAATTTAAAAAAACAAACATTTTTCACGCGTTTCTCGCGCACTTTTTAATGTTAAAGCTTGTGCTTGCTCTCCTTTGCTTTCTAGGTTATAACACATAGTCGCAAACTCAAGAAAGAAAATTTAAGATAGGCCTAGATCGTTTTACCTAAAAGAAAGGCCTCAATGTGTAATGATGTTCAAATAATATGTTTGTAATAAATAAAGCCATAAGGAAAATGCTTATATACAGTTTTAAAAAAAACGAGTGTGGCCATATATAACTTAAGAGCATTTCTTGTTGAGGTAGGCCAATTTCCTCTAAAAATTGCACAATTAGGGAGGTTTTGATCAATTCCGACGAAATTAGAATTAAAAACACAAAATTTTTTTAGGGTTTTAGGGTTAAAGCTTCTGCTTGCCATTCTTTGCCTTCTAAGTTATTTAAAAACATAATAGTCCCAAAACTTGAGAAAGAAAAATTAAGATAGATCGTTTTACCTAAAAGAAGGGCCTCAATGTGTAATGATGGTGAAAGAGTAAGCCTATGAATTGTAATAAATAAAACCACGATGAAAATGCTTATATTTAGTTCCAAACACACGCGTGTGCCCTATATTAATATTAAAATAAGCCATGCT